CGCCAAGTGGCTGGCTCCACTAGGTCAAGTATTTGTGATGTACGATTAGAAATGTAAGTTTTCCATGCGTGTGGTGGCTTTTCCAACTAGGCTAGAACTATTTCAGAATCGGACCAGAGTTTGTATTTCTTCATGTTTAAGTGGGTCTGCACCATGAAAAATAATTCATTCAACGGAGCCCTCCCTGTCGGACCACAGAATTGTAAGGTTCGCACTGAAGGTTGAGGTCAGGCAACTTCCCCAAGACGCAACCCTCGAAGGACAAACTGGAGTGCATTCAGGGTAATGCTGCAGGATGAACTAAATAGGGAGAGGCTGACCGATGATAGCGTTACGGGCCCGGGAATAGAAAGCTGAGTGCTGGCACTGAACGGGTCTATCACTAACGCTTACAACGGTAGCTGCCTCCTAATAGTGCCCACACATAGGCGCAACTATCCCTGGTGGACAAAGAAGCTTGCAGACCTCAGGAAAAGAGTACGTAGCCTATTCAACAAGGCAAAACGTACAAGGGTCTGGGAAGAATACAGGAGCTACCTAACCCTCTACAATAAGGAGATTATTTCAGCAAAACAAACGAACTTCACGAGTTTCTGTGAAAAGGTCTCCTCCACACCAGAAGCGGCGCGGCTGCACAAGACTCTGGCTAGTGGGAGAACTAACAAGGAGCTAGGCCATCAAAAGAAGTGACGGGACCTTTACGACCAGCGCGGAGGACAGGGCGACAGAGCTTCTGCGTGCTCACTTCGTGGAGATCATCCAGGTGGTGCAATGTCTACATGTGAGAGAACATAGGCCATCCCGCTTGGATTGGGCAACCGCTAGGCAGATAGTCACAGTGGACTCGATCAAGTGGGCAATGGCCTCGTTCGAAAAATTCAAGTCTCCAGGGGTGGACGGCATCTTCCCAATGCTTTTGCAGCAAGGTGAACAGCGTCTGCTACATCACCTTGTTCGGCTGCTTAGGGAGAGCCTTGCAATGGCGTACATCCCTGACCCATGGAGAACGGCTGAGGTGATCTTCATAACCAAAGTAGGAAGGAAGGACTATTCCTTGGCCATGTCCTACAGGCTGATTAGTCTAACCTCCTTCCTACTGAAGACTATGGAAAAGATCATAGACCACAATATAAGGTCGACGGCGCTGAAGAGTGCAYCCCTGCATGCTGCTCAGCATGCATACAGAGCGGGAAGATCCACCAGTACGGCTCTGTACCAGCTGACCTCGTAGATAGAGAGTTCACTGGAGAAAGGGGAGGTGATGATATGTGCCTTCATAGACATCGAAGGTGCCTTCGACAATAGATCTCATAAGAGTGTAGCCAGGGCGATGGAAAGAAGAAATGTGGCAGCACCGGTGCGCAGATGGATAGAGGCCGTGCTGCGCACCAGGATCGCCGAGACCAGGGTAGGCGGAACAAAGATCCGCCTGGGWGCGACAAGAGGCTGTCCACAGGGAGGTGTGCTATCACCTCTACTATGGAGCCTTGTCGTGGACGAACTATGAGCACTGCTAACTGACAATGGGATCCGCTACCAAGGGTATGCGGATGACATTGTGATAACAGCAAGAGGCAAATTTGAAGATACTCTCTGTGACCGAGTGCAACGGGGTCTAAAACTGGCAAAGGGGTGGTGCAGAGGAGTGGAACTAAACATCAACCCCTCAAAGACAACCGTAGTCCCTTTCACAAGGAGCAGGTCCCTACCCGGTTTGAGGAACCTCACACTTGGGGCAGAGAGATCGAGATGACTAGCAAGGTTAAATACCTGGGCCTTACGCTGGATTCTAAACTGCGGTGGAAGCAGCATGTGGACCGAACGCTGGTCAAAGCTACAAAAGCGTTAATGGTGTGCAAACGGCTGGCGGGTAAATCCCGGGGCTGTAAACCAAATATCGTTAGGTGGTTGTACACCATGATTGTGCGACCGATAATTACATACGGGGCGGTGTCCTGCTCCTCCGAAGCGTCGCAGGCTTCGGTGGTAACCCGACTATCGAAGTTTCAGCGGCTAGCATGTGTTTGCATGACGGGCGCTATGCGACCCTGTCCGACGGCAGCTCTTGAGGTCCTGTTTCAACTTACACCGCTCCATATAATGATAGGTCAAGTAGCCGAGCACTCACTTCTGCAGATAACAGCAGAGGGATGCGGCAAAGGCAAGATAATCTCGTCCCAGATGATGGAGAGACATTCCTCTTGCCCTCCTCCCAAAAGACGGCATTATGAAATCAACTCATTTCACGAAAAGGTTTAAGGCTACCCTCGGCAGTAAGAGTGAGTGGAACGACCCCACTCGTGAGCAAATGCTAAGGTATAGTACACTGAGGTGGTACACCGACGGCTCAAAAACGTCGAAAGGAATAGGTGCGGTTATTGTAGGCCCGCGTACCAAGGTCTCCATTCCGATGAGAAGCTTTCCGAGTATTTTTCAGGCTAAAGTCCTGCCCATAAGTCGGTGTATAGAGATAAACCTCCACCGCAACGAGCGCATAGCTATACTTAGCGATAGTCAAGCGGCACTAAAAGCGATCTCCTCCTACGAGATCAAATCGCTATTGGTGCAGGAGTGCAGAGAACGATTGAACAACCTAGCTGCAAAGAACCAGTTGCACATAATCTGGGTGCCCGGGCACAGGGGCATAGCCGTCAACGAACTGGCTGACGAGCTGGCCCGCTCCGCAGCCCCCACCAGTATGGTTGGGCCCGAACCATTCATTGCGGTGGGTCCCCATACTCTGAAGGAGCTGCTCCGCAACTAAGAAAGAGTGTGCAGGGAAAGGTTTGGCAGCGAGCGCACGGTATGCGTCATACCAAGCTACTAGTTGGGGGGTATAACCAAAAGAGGTTTAAATCGTTAATTAACCTCCCAAGCAACAAACTCAGGATCCTGGTTGCATTTTATACCGGCCACTGCAAGCTGAAAAGGCACTTAGCTAACATGGGCCTATCATCTTGCGCCAACTGTCGGTTTTGCAACAGGGACAAACCTCGGAGCATCTAAAGAGAGTATTATAGTTTTGTTCACATAACGGTTGTTTGTAAGTCCTAAAACTAAAAGAGTCAGATATAGGGTT